CCCCAAAACCCCAAAACCCCAAAACCCCAAAACCCCATTTTGGAGGAGTTTTATTGATAATTTTTGTTAATAGGAAGAAAATGAAGGCGTCAGATGTGAAGCTTAAGAGGGTAAGGAGGGGTGGGGATAGGGACAGGGATGGGTAGTGGTGGTGTTTGGAGGTGAGGGGGACTTGGGGTCGTTAGGGGGTTGTAGAGTCGTGATAAGGCATGGCACGGTGTTTATTCTGGCTTGTGTGATATTTAATGCTTTAGATCAATGAAAGGTTAATGTCGTTTTATCACAGAAACTCTGATGATAAATAAATACTTCTCAGGCATCATATCAAGCTCAGCAAACACACCAAATAAAGGGTATTTCTTTAACGGAATTAAACCTATTTTGGGTGAAATGTTAACTTAAATTAACTATATGTATTTACTTGCTCCAAAACTGCGAACCCCTATGCTCAAGCTTGCCAGCTCACAATGGTTATAGGGACCACTCAGCCAACCTGTCGAAGCTCGCCTACTTTTCTCATAAAAGAGACAAATAGGTTGTCCAAGAGCAGACACTCCTTCACCAGATCGCTGCACAAAGGAGCGAGTAATGTTGCGCATAAGTTTGTAGAAGAGTTCGTGAAGATGAAGAGGCAGCGGAGAGTGAGGCAGACCGAGTTCAACGGGTAATTTGTCCAACTTATCAACAGAAGTAAATAAATTTACAATTAGAGATCCTAAGTTTCACGAAGGTAAAATTTGTAAGTTATTTTTAGAATCATTGAAGTTACGTCTCTCATCACCAAGGAAGGCTGCATCAAACTATTGCACTGCTCATATTCATCCAACTTGCACATGTGCAAATTGAAGTAACTTATGGTAATAATTGTAGAAAAACTGAAGGATTTGAGTGACCTCTTAACCCAATACAAAAGTATTAGTTCGGTTTATTGTAGAAAATTATGGTATGGCTTGAGAAAAAGTTGTCTCTCTGGAGAAAGCCAATTCAAATTTGACCGAGGACCTCACCACAGCTCAAACAAGGTACCTATTAATTTTACCTTTAGTCACGAAGAGAGTATTTTCCAACTTCAGGCATCTTTGAATGAAGCAGAAACTAGTCTGAATGCTAAAACCACCAAACTAGAACAGGTAAATATCTTGCAAACTTTAAGGTACTTCAGGAAGCTGAAGAGTTAAAACAAGAAATAATGAGGAAAGAAGAGGAAACTAAAGTAAAGCTTGAAAATGAAATCCAACGAATAACTGAGAGACATGAACAACAAGTTCAAGGACTGAAAAGGAAATTAAAGAAATCCATGGATAAATGTAATGGAATGGAGAAGAAATTTCAGAAATATAAGAGGCTGGCTAAACAAAAGATTAATCATAAAGTAAGCCATCACTAATGTTATAGGGAATGCTAACTCCTAGTAATGTCTTCACTCATGACCAAGATACACTTGTTGAAACCTCAAATTTATTGGTAAGCGTCAAGGACTCTGACTTCAATCTTCAAGAAAATAATTGAGAATCCTTCAAACTCGAGATGATAAGATATAAGAACAAATGAAGAGAATTAAAGAACATCCTGTTTAGTTATGAGAATAGGGAAAAGGGTGGACAAAGAGATATTTCAAAAGTCTGGGACAAAGTCTGCCAAGTCAAGAAAACCACCGATCAACTAGTTGCCAGCAGTGAGAAAGTTCTCCCACTCAATAAGGCTGATTCGATCAAAGACTTCCTTGATTTCAGCGATTCGTCCCACTGGAGAATCTCTGACTTCGAAGACGAGCTGGAAGACTTTCTGTCTGAGACTGACGACAACGTGCAGTTGAGGACAATCCTACAAAGCTTGGGTGAGATCAATGCAAAGCTGAATGAATTATTCCAAAAAAGCACAGATGCATTTGCTGACCAAGTATCTAATGAATGAAGAATCCAATAAGTTCAATATTTAAGAAAATATAAGGGGTTTTGGGGTTTTGGGGTTTTGGGG